CACCCTCTATGATTTGTGATGCATGTGGCCACACTGCAAGTCCTCAGTTCATTATTCTGGGGGGTGGCCAGCTAGGGTGTTATTTGGTAATGTTCAACTTGTACCCCTGTCTGAAATAAATTCATTGCAGCATCAAATCGGCAAATATTTTGGCTGGAATTGGCTTGAACTCTTCGTAGGAACCAGGTATTCAATATAATATAGCTGCTACTTGACATCCTCACTGTAAAAGAAGATAATTATGCATAAATGCTTACGTGGCCAGCTACCCGACAAAAAATAGTATATCCTGTTTTTCGATGCCGAATCGACATTTTTCATTTCTTCATTGGTTTATTGACAAACGAGGTAGGTAGATAGGTAGGTAGGTAGGTAGGTATTATTACACGCAAGGAACTGTCATTCAACGTGATCTTGCGGTTACTGAGTTGACGTAAAGTTGAACACCACCTGCCGGTTATGTGGCAGTCATCGTTCTAAGATGTATGAGGACTACGCACAACACCATTAACTTTGTGGATGGTGCACAGCACGGAAGGGAACTTGATATTCATAGAAAGGGAACTCGATGCTCGGGGAGCGACCATGAGAACGGTGCCGCAAGACATGCTTCAAGTTGCTGCCATGTCAGCGAGGGGGATGCAGTGCGACTACTTGCTTTTGTTCTTCTTTCATTGTTATTTCTCCCTACTACAAGGGTCATCCACGAGATTCAGCAGGAAAGAAAAATGATGGGAACAAATCCGACTCCTGAGTAACCCTGCAAATCAAAGTGGGCAACTGTCAACTTGCAATTGAACCACTCACTAAGCCTATCACTCGGTTCCTTCAAGTTCGAGTCAGTCCAATGTGACTCAGAGCTGTGATGGCTTGTAGGAATATAAACCGTCGACATCCCACCGCCTACCCAGCCTTTGTCCCCCTTTCCGCGTATGTATTCCGGCGCTGTGCATCTGTTTTGATGACGAGCTTGATTTTTTAGTTCAGCATGTCGACATTTAAAGTCACGCCTGCTGTTCGGACCGTGCAAAACCACGTTCGATACCATGAGCTGGACATGAACGCGCCCTGATTATTGGCTCGAATCAAAGAAGTACAATGGCATCTCGACACTGAGGCCAACCGTCAGAAGCTACTCAAACTCGAAAGTGATCTGGCAAACCATGGACCGCATTCAACTTCAAAGCAGACGTTAGCGGACAGGATCGCGAGGCTGAAGCGTCAAATTGACTCTGCTTCGTCGCAAACCCAGCTCGAGACCATGCTGACTGAGCTGGAATCCCAGCAATCACGTGAAAACGCTGAACTAGCGTCGTATGTCGGAACGCTGGTGCCCAGTCGTGCACAGACATTAATTCCGGAGATGCTATCCGAAATCTTCCTCCAGTGCAACATCCCCTCTCCCCAAGAATGGATGGGTGGTCCTCTGAATGTCGAGATGTGGACCAACATCAATATCTTGCGGGTTTGCTCTGCGTGGTGGACTGCGGCATTGAACACACCCGCCTTGTGGTCTGAGCTGCTTTACGGCGATGCTGGAACGCTGCCTTTGGAGTTCTACAACTTGTGGCTCAGCAGAGCTGGATTGCTCCCTCTCAACTTGAACATTTGGGCCACCTTTGGATGTGGAGAAGATAGCTATTGGTCCGGGGCGGCGAAGATCCTCCACACACATTGTAATGCGCTGGGGACTCTAAAATTGAAACTTCCCCCCAAAGATTCTTTTATCTCAGTACCATCGTTGTTCGACCATCCACATCAACCAACAAACTTGCGGAATCTCACCATCCACTCATATGACGACTACATCCACAAGACACTCACGAATATTCCATGGAATCAATTGTCGAGTCTGGAATTCCGTGTCAGGTATGAGAACAGATTCATCTCACCGACACAACTTGCGGGCATCCTCGCACAAACCGTGCGTCTGACCCGCCTGCTCGCAAACCTTGGCCCGGACCCACGGTTCAGTCCATCCCCGCCGCGGGTTCTGTGCCTCCCAAGGCTCCACACATTGGATATTTCCTGGGGTGCCGCTGAAAGTCCCTACGACGGAACTGGTATCCCCCATTCGTTCATCAATCTCTTTGACAAACTCTCCGCTCCTGCATTGAAGTCGCTGAAATTAGGGGTTGGCAAAGAGGCAAGTGCTTTTGTCCTTCCGGCACTGACGAACCTTGTCGCTCGCTGCGCAGTTGGCATTGAATTGCTGCACTGTGACATCGAAATGTGGTGCCCTATCTCACCTGCAGTCTCGCCCCTGGACACGATCATCGGCCTACTTCAGGAGACCCCGTCCCTCATATCCTTCCATTGGGGGTCCGATGGTTGTGATCTGCCAGACTTAGTGGAAGCACTGACCCATACCGAGGGCAGCCGCACCAGAATCCTTCCCAAACTTGTTGATATTTCTTTGCGGCTCGACAGTTACGAGGGAGTGAGAAAACTTCCCCGCCGTCTCATACTTTCCGTCCCTGATGCGGTTTCCAGATTCTTCCCGCATTCGCAGACATGGTGGCATCGCGTCTGGTATCAGACTCGCAATCGCAGCCCCTAACTTCAGTTTGAAAACGTACCGTCACATCCCATGGGACGATTACGATGACATTGACCATTTCGAGCTGCCATCGCTCAGTAGCGACAGTAGGACCGCCAACGAGCATGCTCTCCAGCGCCTTGAAGAATTCACGACAAACGGACTGGGTGGATCTGTGGATTTCCGGCATTTTGATCAAACCCTTAAATTAGCTGATCCCAAGGCCGCTGTGCGGCAGCCGCAGGTTTGGGTGATACGGTCGAAGGTGTCCGGGAACAACTCGTTATACTGTGATGACGATATGGTGTGGCATTGGGTGGACGCGCAGACTTTGTCCAGGCAGCAGCAGCTCTAGGGGGGATCACTTGTCGGTGTCAAACGGAATATGAACGATGATGTGTTTTTTGCAGAAAGAAAATATATTTCTCCAAGATTTCTCACCGGCATGAGATAGCTCAATCAAACGCAGTGATATTAATGCACGAGGCACGTACATGAGACTGGGGCGATGTGACTTGAATCAGGTGTTTTGTCGCTCTCGAATCAAATTTGTCTCAAGATCCTGAATGCACGGGGAACTTCCGCTTCAATGCTTGTTTTCTGGCGACACATCAATACATACCTTTATTCAGCTAACGATCTTTGGCAAGTTCGATTCTAGGCTCATAATGGCTAGGTACGACTTACATATTCTGCACGCCTGCATTCGTGGCTTTGTGCGCAGGACCAGTTCAATCCCTTCATCCTCGCAGGCTTTGAAGATTCACGTCCTGACCGGCTAATTCCGAGTCCACAAGGCTCCGGTACATATCTCGTACTGTACTGACCATTGCCGAAGCGAGGCCACCAAATAAGACATCGAGCTGGGACAGTACTTATCATAAATTGACAACCAAAGCCGCCTCCTCATGCCAAAACACACTGTTTTTGAAGTGACCTCGGGCATTCCCTAATATGGTATGTGAATTACCATAAATGGAAGCACCGATTTTCCCCTCTTTGACGGTCGAAGCGCACCAAAACTGGCGTGTGCCGACTCTCTCCTATATAATATAATACACGTACCCTTTCCCCATCTAAGTGAATGTGTCTGATTCTCGTGGCATTTCCTGGGAGGATCGAGGACCGACTTAATCATGGAATACCACTCCATATTCCATTCAAGTGCACGCTCATCTTCCTGAACTCGTGCTTCGCCATATAGTACGTATACGGCTCCATTACTTCATTCTTCCAGTCTCAAGTTATGCAGCATTTTGGACATTGTACATTGAGTACCTCAACGGGTCATGTTACGGGTGGTTTATTTTGAAATTGGCTTTGCGCTCACTACCGACCGCCCTGCGGGCAAGCACATATGTTGTTGATGAAATCACACAGACACGGTATGAAATCGGACATGGTGTATGGTGGACGGCCCTGGATTGTGGTTGGCGAGCATTTCAAGATTTTGGGGCAGGCCAGGGTTCGATTCCCTCCTTTTTTTTCTGGATACTGGAACACTGAGAAAATGCGAGATAGTGGGTCATTCTGTGGAGTTGCGACTTTCTGCGGTCGAGGGTGGGAAATTCGGCGGAAACGATTGCGTGTATCGCCAATTGATCGCCAAGGTTGAACCTCCCGAGTTGACCATTTTTCAACTGCGTTCAGTTGCTAAGCTGTGTCTGAATTTTTTTTTGATATTGATGCCTTCTTTGTTTGAGGGTTGATCTCTTTTGCGTCCTCTTTGCACATTTTTCCGGCACCTGAAAAAATCCTCACCGCCGGGTTGAAGTCAGTAAATAGGGTCAGTCAGAGTAGGTCGTTTCGACGTTTCTGAGGTTGTTTCTGCGGTCGTTTCTGATGTCGTTTCAGAAGTCGTTTCAGAAAATTGTTGGCATCCCAAACGCGGGAAGAAACGACCCTGGATTTATTTCTCGTTTCTCCCACGCTTTAATATTTCGAGAAACGACTCGAGAAACGAGTCCAGAAACGACTGATTAAAACCTACTCTGACTGACCCTAATGACGAGTGTGCCACTATTTGGTTGAATTTTAATTTTTTGGGCACCTTAGTGCATTCAATCAATTCCCGCTCCAGGGTGGCTCTAATAACGAAGGCCGTATACAAGCTAAGAAATCGGACATGGTGTATGGTGCACAGCCTTGGAAAATACTTTCTTGGGGAATAATCTTTTACGGACAGGACGGGGTTCGATTCCCTGTGTCCGAGTGGACGGTGGCCTGCATTCGGGCTTTTTGTGTTCGAATACCGAACCGCGCGACATAGTGGCTCATTTTCTGGAGTTGCGATTTTCTGTGGTTGAGGGCTGGAAATTCAAAATTGGCGGGAAATGATCGTGTGTATTGCCAAATTCAAAGTTGAACTTCCCGAGTTGCGACCCTTCGCATGAGACTCCGGTGCGTTGAATTCCCACTCAAGGGTGGTTCTAATAAAGAGGGCCGCATGCAAGCCAAGAAATCGGACGTGGTGTATGGTGCACGACCCTGAACTATAGAGTCGTGTCTGACAAGTTATTCAGGGGCAGGACAGGGTTCGACTCCCTGTGTCCGAATCTTTTGTGATATCGATTATCGCCTTCTTTTTTTTTGAGGGTTGATTGGTCTCTTTTGGGTCCTCTTCTCTGCATATATCCTTCCGCCACCTGAAAAAAATCCTCGCCGCCGAGTTGAAGCAGTAAATGGCTGTGCACTCGTGAGGCAACTATCCGGTTGAATTTTGGGCACCTCGCATGAGACTCTGGTGCATTCAATCCCCTGCTCAAGAGTGGCTCTGATAATGAGGGCCGTATACAATATAGGAAATCGGACATAGTGTATGGTGCATGGCCTTGGATTGTGAGTATCGAAGTGTTGACGATTTTGGGGGCAGGACAGGGTTCGATTCCCTGTTTCCGAATACGAATTTGTCGGTCGGGTCCTTTTTCTTCTTCTTTTTTTGACACTGGAACGCTGAGAAAATGCGAGATAGTAGCTCATTCTCTGGAGTTGCGATTTTCTGCTGTCGAGGGCGGGAAATTGGGCGTAAACGATTGTGTTAGAATTTGACGCTGATCGGCGACCTGCTGGCACATGTCAGAGACCTGTCGGATATATTAACAGCAAGTATTTACGGTATATACAGTATATATACATGGCACCATTGTGTACGTACTTTGCGCGTTTGGACCCGTCCTTACCCATCTCCAACATTGCTGGTCTTCCGTCCCTCGGGCACTTCCCGTTGTAGCGTCGCTGTGGTCCTCGTGCAGGCTGTACTCCGTTCCCTCCCTGGATTTTCTACAGATTGTGGGTATCGCCAAGTTCTAAGTTGAATTTCGCGAGTCGCCATTTTTCAACTTCATTCGATACTGCCACTTGTCCGAAATTATTCCGGGCTTTCCCGAACTCCTGGATTGAGTATACTACTGCTACTGCCTTGCGGTGCGCGAGTCTAACCGTATTTACTATTTCCACCGCACCGGCTTGGCACCGGCTCAGTCCCGTGTCTCACGTGTAACCTGGGACTCAAATGGACATATCAATTCATGATCCCAAGATCCTCGTCTCTGCTCCACTCCTTGACGCCACAGGCTCCCAAATTCGCACTTTCCTTTCCCCCCCCATCTCCGAAACATATTTAACGACACAAAAAATACTGAAACTTGCTCGGGATGGCTTTACCTTGTGAGTCTCGCCTATTACCCTTTCCGCTATCACCGGTGGCAAGGGCCTCGTTTCATTTGTGCGCTATTTTTCGATTATTCTTGCTCCACACGAGCACACGAGACGATGTCCTCGTCCCTGCCGAGCGATGGGTCTTCGACGCCTGCGCCCGTCTCTCCTGCCCCGCCGAGCAGCAGTGCATCCGATCCTGGTGCTCCTATTCTCTTTCCCTCTTTTTTTTCCGATATTTTTTGTGCATTTACTGACTGGATTTTATTGCAGCACTGTCCGTATCGCTGCCCTCCATCCCCATCCCCTCCGTCCCCTCCATCTCCATCCCCTCCATTAGCTTGCCGACTCCCCCAACGGGTCCAAGCAGTACGAGTGCGAGTGCGAGTTCCGTGCCCCCTCCGCCAAGTAGCAGCGGTGGTGGAAGTTCGAGCGGCGGGGGCGCCTCGTCGTCGGCGCCGCCGTCGAGCTCGGCGCCGAGTAACACGGTGCTGACGTCGCCGTCGGTGACCGTGCAGCAGTCGACGTTTCTGTGGGTATTATTTTCTTTCACTTTCACTTTTATTCTTTGGGTGGTTTTCTCGTCGGGTTTCTGTCTTTCTGTGTTCTCGCTCGTTTCCCCCGTGTTGTTCTGGGTTTCCTCCAGGATGCTGGGATGCACACGACTTTCCAAATTATATTACGGGCCTGGAGGTACGCCACACCTTGGCCACACACCCGGCATCCTCCGACGCACTCTGGGCTTTACGGTCTGGGTCGAGAGACGCACTCCGCATGCCCTCATCTTCCTTCCAAGATGGCATCCTTGATGCTCCTCATTCACTCCACCCCGACCGTACCAGACACCCACGCTTCGCCCCATCTCCTCTCCGGCCATTTTCGGATTTTCGGCCAAGACGTTGCGTCCATTACGCATTATACATCTCCAGCCACCCTCATCCCATACCGATCTTGCCCAAATGTCCGAAGGCTCTGCCCTCGTCTCGCCACTGCATCTCAATCTTAGAGTGCGCGGGATAGCGTGCGGTGATCCTTTGCGTCATCTCTGAGGCAGGCCGCACCTCGCCCAATTTCCTCTCCCGCCATTTTTGGATTTTCGGCCAAGACGTTGCGTCCATTACGCATTATACATCTCCAGCAACCCTCATCCCATACCGATCTTGCCCGAATGTCCGAAGGCTCTGCCCTCGTCTCGCCACTGCATCTCAATCTTAGTGTGCGCGAGATAGCGTGCGGTGATCCTTTGCGTCATCTCCGAGGCATCCCGACCACACTGGCTTCCTCCTGAGTCCGTACACATCGGGCTGCGCGGACCCGGGTGTGGGCCGCAAGATACCTGATTTGACCCTTGGTGCGGCCGCAATGCTGCGATTGTGCGTCCAGGGTGCGACCGCGTCTTACTGCGACCGCCGGTGCGATAATTATTCTCGCGCCGCGTGTTGCTGGGGTGGGGTGGAGTCCGGCCCGAGTCGAGTCTAGTTCTCGCGTGATGTATTGGGCAGCGGACTACGTCGTCGTGTGCGACGGACTCCCTCGTTTTCGATCGGTTACAATGGCGCCATTTCTCTCTTCTCGGGCACACGCACGAGCCATCTTGGACTTGTATTGGACTGCGGACTGCTATTCTGATTCGGATGCGTCATCGAGGTGACTGGCGCGGCCGCAGATGCGCGCACGAATACCACCAGTCGCAAGGCTGCTCTGGCGGCTGCGATGGGTAGTGACGTCATGGGCGACTGCGGATGCGCGTTCTCAAGGCCAGGGAGCAACCACGGGAACGGTGTCGGAAGACACGCTCATGGCCATGTCGACGAGGGGGGGATGCAGCGCGACTACCTGCTTTTGTTCTTCTTTCATTTTATTTGTCTCTCCGCTGCACAATTCCTTACTGACCCTCCTTTCTCCCACAGCTCAACCTCTAACGGCGTCGTCGTAACTGAAACCATCCGAACCACCTCCACCATCCCCGCCGGCGCCACCGTCAGCTCCACCCCGCACACTGACGCATCCACATCCACAAGCCATACCGGCGCCATCGCAGGCGGCGCCGTCGGTGGCGTCGCGGGCCTCCTCCTCCTCGGTGTCCTCATCTGGGCGTGCCGCCGCCGCGCGCGCGAGAACGCCAAGCGCGCCGAGTTTGACGGGAACTTCGACCCGGGGCGCACCACCGGGGGGCCGACGCTCCCCGTTTTGGCGGCGCCCTTGGACGGGGAGGAAGAGGAGGATGATGGGGTCGGAGGAAGGCTGGCGGGGAGCTCGGTGGGCGGCGGGGTGGTGTCGCCGTTTATGGCGGGCGTGGGCGCGGGCGGGATGGCACATCAGCAGCAGCAGTATACGCCCGCCAATGCCTATTATGCGGGCGGGTATGATGGGAGCACGAATGGGAGCGGGAGCGAGGCACCGCTGAGCCCGACGAGCGGGAGCCACTACCCCGTGTCGTCGTCTGCGCACGCGGGAGGCGGGACGAGCAATGTGTCCTCGGGGTCATACTACCCCAACCCGATGAGCGCGAAGGAGCGCGAGGCACGCGGGGGCGCGTTTGCCGTCGCCAACCCCGGGCCTGGGGGCCCGCAGATGGGGCAGATGCACATGCCGATGCCCGCCTCGGGGGGGAGCGCGGGCTTTGGGCGGCTGCCGAATCCGCATTCGCCGGAAGGGAGCGAGGGGAGCGGGGTGGGTATGGGCAGGGGGGGCGCGAATGCGAGTGGGGTGCTGGTGCATACGGATGGGGGGAAGCTGCCGGAGCCGCAGCAGGAGATTCCGCCGACGTATGATAGTATACCGAGGCAGTAGGTGGTCGGGGTGTCGGGTGTCGTGGTCGGCGGGGCGGCAGGGGGTGAGTGTTGGTCAGAGCAGAGGGGGAGGAGGTGGGAGGCGTACATGTACGGGCGACAGCGAAAACGTCGCGAAGGACTGCACGATCTTCCGCATCACCATCTACTTGCTACTTGCTACTAGCTGCTACTACCACCAGTTACTCGATCGACGAGACACTATGTACGCTACCCTTTTGTTAATTTTCGCTGAGCCAGCCTGTTGGTCGGTTGGCTGGTTTGTATCTTTGTATGCTGTGGACCCTTATTATATAGAATTGGAGGTGTTTGAATAGAATTGGAGATTGCACGGTAGTTGTACTGTTACCTGGACCGTAATACAGAAGGAATATCCGGCGAGAACGAGAATTTCCGCCACAGGCCGGGCGTTGCTCCGCGTCCTTGTCCAGTCCTGAGGAAGCTCGAATTAAATTATCCAAACCCATATTATCGTATAGGGCGGCTCGCGAAGGATTGAGAAATACTGGGCTTAGCTTTCTTCTTTGGACGCTCAGAGTCAACCTCCTCGCCGTCCCTCTTCACGGGCCGCACGGTCGGGATTCTAGAGGTAAAGTAACTATATTCGCCTTTGAGTTTTCGAAGGAAGGTCTGGGCCCCGCATGCCACCGACGCAGATCCGGACATCGGGATCGATTCGAGTGGACGAAGAAGGCGAGTCATTGGATCCAAAACCGTGTTGTCGTATAGGACGACCAAGGTGTACCATGCCGCCCGTGATGGATTAAGAAATACAGTGTCAAAACCCGGATCCAAAAAATGCCCGGATCCGAAAAAATTGCATTTTGAACGGGAACCCCGCCGGTGTTCAGCTTGATTCTTTTTTTGTGGAATAACAACAAGGCCTATGAGTAATATAATCCACAAAAAAGTCATTGAGCCTGCTGGGCGCACGCGAAAAATCAAACAATTGCCAAAAATGGCTAAATCTCAATGATGGCGGCCGAGAATTGTATATTCTGAGAATAGTAGTAGCCCATTCACATCTACGATGCTTTAAAGAGAAATTATTGTATCTTGGGGTACTTTTCAGACATTTTTGCCCATGCTTGGTGAATATAGGCAACGGG